CTTAAGCTTCTCAGTGCCCTGCGCTTTAACCCGCTGCGCCACCAGGGAGAGCCCACTTTGCTTCTGATTTATACGTTCATTTTGAAACTTTCTGGCTTAAAAACAAAAGTGAACACATAATTGATCTATATTAATATGGATCTGATTAGTAATTACATTTCTCATATAATTACATGATTTTTATGCCACACATTAATCTCTCATGAATTTGGGTTTAATACCTATATTTTTAGGGCCTTCTAATCCTGGATAAACTAGCCAATTTTCATATATGCTAAGGCAAATGATATAATCACTGCCAAGATTCCTATAGCTTTGAAATTCTGCATTTATCTCTTAAAGGAAAAATGTACACTACTGTAAACTAATATTATTTAACTAAAAATATTGTCACATTGGAGAGCAGTAAGAAAATGAAATGAAAATTCAGTGCTAAAATGCAGAACAAGTCAAACTGCGTAGAGATTATAGCAAAATTATTGATAAATTTTATCAAATTTTGCATTCTTCACATAAACTCTCGAGGGACAAGAAAATTATCCATACCTTTTTCTGAAATAAAATATATTATGGGAATGAAGAAATACTAAGGAGATATGAAGAATGCAATGGTAGTGCAAAGGAAATGTTTCAAAGTATTCTAAGTTTTATAATCGCTAGAACACTGGTATAAACTATATTACAAAGAATAACTGCCAAATAAATCATTATCTGATCTTGGATTGATAAATGTCTGGGGAAGAAAATTACAGGGAACTAATTTTGAGTATACACACACACACACACACACACACATATTTAAGATGTGGAACTGTTCAACTGAGACTTTAGGATAGAAATGTATTAAAGGCGTTGCTTGCTTACCTTTGGCCATTACCACCAACGATATTGGGGGAATGAATAATTTTGAACATTCTGGATGAAAATATCTAAGTATTTGATCAAAATACCTGCCTTAAAATTTTTTTCCCTGTGTTTAAATACAGGACTATAACCTGCATTTCCCCAAATGACACCAGCCAGTGAGAACAAATATCAGGTTCATAGCTCCCTCTAAAAAATATCTTACTACCTCTGCTACAAAGTTCCCTAGTCTTTTCTGGAGCCCCCAGTCAGTCTCCTATGTGGTCTTAATCAGTTTGTTCCTATTACTAGCTGCTGCAGTACTTGGAAGACTCAGGTAAGAACCTTCCCTTCTTTCTGCCTTATGTTAGAATGTTTCAGGAAAACACTACCCTCCTATAAAGACTCCATTCACAATTTCTCCCTAGGTTACAAATTACCATGCTGTCCATGGATAAGGAGTTCATGTGGAAGACTGAGTTGCCCTGTCAGGAGACTATTTCTAGTTAAATCTGTCACCAGCTTGCCTATGAAAACATTATTTTGTGCTCCTTTTTCTAGCCCCTCAGCATGTCCTTTGTTGTGCTCAATCTCTTATGTCTCCATGAGAGGCACCTGGGCTAGTTTTGCCAAACAAGTCTTGATTTCCTCCTACACATCAATCATGCTAATAGTTTGCAGGGAGGACTGTAGTCCCATAAGCTCATTAACCTCACCCAAACCCTGATTCTTAGTTTGAGCTCAAATGAAAATCCTGCTCCATCAGAACTTAAGTTGGACTTAAGATGAGCTCAAATGAAAATCCTGCTCCATCAGAACTTAAGTTGGACTTCAGATGGGTTTGGTAATATAGTTGAGAACAAAGCTGTAATTTCTTGATATAATGTGTGCATGCATGTGCGTGCATTTGTGTGTGTGAGCAGCCATATGCCACAATCTTAATTTGTATCAGTGTAGTCAGGTAGGCGGCAGGGCCGAGAGGACAAAGGAGAGTCCCTGAGCCCTCAGTGTCTTTTCCAGGCTTTTAATCTTTCTACACGGCATGTAGTGAGGCAATCCAGAGTGGGCGGTGGCCTCCAGGCTCAGGTGTGTGCATAACACGTGTCCACACCATAATCCAGGTGTCCACTATCAGGCATGCGTGCCAGAGCCCATGTTCCCCTGCATGTCCTGCATCAGCACAGTCAAGGCCACTGGTGAGAGCCACAGAAGCCAGTGGCATAAGATCCTGACCATTTCACTTATACCCACATCACCTCTTCCAGTTGCAAAACTAATACCGAAGGAATGTAACATGTTGTGACATGTATTTTACTTATTCCACACTTATTTAGAAATAAATACGAGAAATATATTTAGTTACAAGAATGTTCTTTTAAGTCACAGTTTTCTTACATGCTGAAAAACCTTTTATACCATTTATATTCTATTTAGATTTAAAAAAAAAATGTAAGCCAAACAATTTTCCCTTTTGCATTCTCTTCTTAGTAAATATAGCTGCTGCTATTATGAGTAAAAGAGACATACCTGGTTGGAGGAGCTATGGAGACACCAACGCATTTAGAGATAAACAAAATGTGAAAACAAGAAACAGTGTTTTAGTTATTGGCATAAAAATTGAAAAGAAAATTAATTCCTAGACCACATTTTATCACCTGTTTTTCCTGTTATAAAATCTTAATCATCTGAATTTAGGGGTTTATAATAAAGTTTGTTTATAACAACACAGTTATAATCAAGGCACCTAAATGATTATTTAGAAAGAGGTGAGAATAATTAAGAAACATTGTTTAGAGAAAAAAAGGAATACATGTTTTAGACATTAAAATGCCACAAGATCTGAGAAACTTAGTGTATAAATTTTGTTCAGTACTTTCAATATGGCAGAAAATCATAAAGCTTGATAATCCAGAGCAATAATAACATCTATGGGAGCACTGACTGTAATAGAAGTAGAGGACACTCATATAATGAATCTTATTTTATGATCTTATTGAAAGAAGGGTCCAGCACAGTAAATTTTTCCTTTTAGGATTAGATGTGAGAGGAATCTCAAAATGGTGGCATATGACTCAGCTCCTCTCTTGGATACCCCAAATATATAACTTTATGGAAAAGTTCTGGAACAAGCTGATCAGCTCCTTTATAAAAAGAACAAAAGGACCAAATCAATAACTCAATAAAGAATTAGTTAAAACATATGCAGAAGAATTGGATAGTTATCCAAAGAAGTTATACAAGAGCAACATGGACATGAAAATATGTTCAGCATCACTAGTATCAGGAAAGTGCAATAAGAATCACAGTGAGCTATTATGCCATCTCTATGTGAATCACTATTATCAAAAAGATAAAAAATAACAAGTGTTGGAGAGGATGTGGAGAAAAGTGAGCCCTTGTGAACTGTGGGTGACTATGTAAATTGACAAAATCTCTGGAAAACAATATGGAGGTGTTTCAAAAACTACAAACTGAAGTACCAAAATGAAATAACAACTCTACCGTGAGTATTTACAGAGGGAAAAAAAGGATGAATTCAAACATACATATGTTCATTGAATATACATAGGTTCTTTGTAGTATTATTTACAATACACAAGCTGTAGAAACAACCAAAAGGTACATCTATGAATGGGTTAAGAAAATGCAGCACACACACATAGACAGGAACACTACTCAGTCATGAAAAAAGAATGAAACTCTTTGCATTCATGAGAACTAGGCTGATTTTGAGGGTATTCCACTAAGTGAAATAATCCATACGCTTACATGTGGAATCCAAAAAATCAGAAAAGATTGGTTACAAGAGAAATGGAGTGTTTGTGTGAAAGCGAGAAAGAGAGATAGATGAAGAAAATCAAGAGGTATAAACATCCTGTTACAAAATAAATTACAAATGTAATATACACAGCTTGTAGACTCATTAGTTGCATGATGTTGCAAATTTGAAAGTCACTAAGATGGGAAATAGACATATTGTGATGATCGTTTTGCAATGTATACAAAATCTTATCTGATCATTATGCTGTACACCTTAAACTAAAATAACGTTAATAGCAATCAAACTTTAATTAAAAATACTCTAGCTGGATGTGGACCTTTCTAAAGGCATAAGGATGGAGTCACAGAGAGAGAAATTTAAAAATGCTGGGATAGAATGGCAGATAAAATAAGCTTGTTAGTGAGGTGGAGAGAGATCTTTGTACTTTAAAGGTGACGCAGACAAAATATCAGTCATTTATGCAGAAACTTATTCTAAAAACAAGGTGCAGAGCATATATTAGCAGTTCCCATGGTCTCGTTCTTGATTGTCCTGGCAAAGTTAGTAGGGACTGTTTGGCCAGCATTATCAACTACTTGCTTTTGCATCCATTTAGTGTTTGATCTGCAATGCCTACAGAAGTAAGAATTAAAGGGAAACTCTCAGAAATTAGGAAGTTTTGGTTGGCATGCAGGTGTTAGCCCTAATTTACTCTCTAAGAGGTTTATACTTCATCTTACAAGCTTGGTGACTAATGTTCTTTTTTGATAGCCAGCAAGAAGCAATGCTTTAGACCTGCTTGGCTGCCCTCCTGGTGTAAGAGTTTGGCAGCCCTAGGGAGATGAAATTCTTCAGTGTTGGATCCGCCCATAGTAAAGAAGCAACACCCTCCCAGCCACTACTCTGTTGCTATGAAACAAAAGACGAGGAAGGTAAGCGAAGCAGGAAGTCCCGCCTTTTAGGTCAGTCGGCTTTGGCTCCCGCTCCCAATGCTCACGCCCACTCGCCCACTCCTCATTGGTCATTTCTCCAGTGCCTTGTATCCTCTCTCCCATTTCCTTTGCCGTTTCCACTTTCGCCCTCGGGTGAGTCGAACGCCCCCGTTTCCCTCTGAGTCCCTTTCCATTTGGGACGTGTGGCGAGCGGGCCTTCCTTCGGAGCCATTGTGTACTGTAGAAGACGTGGACCCGGCGGCAGTGCAAGGAGGGCGGGCGTCTCCCGCCCATTGGTGCCACCCGCTGTCAGGCAGTGCAGGGGCGCACAGGATTGGCCCAGCTGCGCGCGGCCCCGCCCTGGCTCCGCCCCGCGCCTGTGTCTCTGAGAGTGTATTACCCAGGGGTGGGGTGTCCAGCGAGTGGTCTCCTCCTCCAGCTAGTGCTGCTGCGGCGTCCCGCGGCCTCCCCGAGAGTCGGGCGGGAGGGGAGAGCGGGTGTGGATTATCTTGACGGTAATTGTTGCGTTTTGCTGTGTCGGTGTTCTGTGCTGTGGGTTGCTCCTTCGGGAGCGTGCTTTTACGGCGTTTACACACTCCCCGCCCGGCTGCCCTCGCACTGGGCTCGTGTATGTAGAGTAGGACCCCGCGCACACGCGTGTCTCTGGGCAGCTGCGGCTCGGGGAGTACAGGAGGGAAGGGGGCGCAGGGGAGTCTCAACGCCTTTTTTTTTTTTTCCCCCGGATCTGGGGTCCGGGGTCAGTCAGGCGCGAGCCACGAAGGAAGAAGGGACTGCCCCGGCTTCCAGCTGCTGTCGCCGCCTCCGTCACAGTCACATTTTGAAGAGGGGCATTTAAAGACCGGAACCGGGCAGGGCCGGGGGAGGAGAAAGAAGGAGTAAAGGGAAACGGGTCGCTATGATTGCAGATGATTCTGGGAGGTTCGTCCACCGGGGAGCCACAAACTGTGCGCCAGGGACTGACTGGGCTGCGGTTTGCTGGAGGCGCGAGGGGAATACTTTGTCCTTTCTCTGTCCACCTACCCCCCATCCCAATCTGAGAGGTCCGAGAGTGGCCGGGGAGGGGCCTAAGCCGGCAAGGGGCACAACGTCCCATAACAAAGCTTTGATCACCCCTCGGCCCCCCTCCACCACCTACCACCTCCTTGGGTAAAAGGCCAGGAGTAAAAGAAGTGAACGCTCTTCCTGTGTCCGCTCTTGTCAGTTTCTCACCCTCTTTTTAAATTGGGTCGTTTGTTGGTTTATTTGGCTCTTAACTTGAGGTGACTAAAGAACTGGGCACTCGCTTGTTCTTGTTCATGTGTCTGTATTTGGTGCTTTTGGCATAGAAAACCCAAGTCCTAAACCTTTGTCGACAACCGACCTGCCTCTTATGCTTGTGTAGAATAATGCTTAACGTTTATATAACTTTGGGAAATCTGAGTGAAAGTGAGGTTTTGAATAAGGCTCTCAAAAGGTTCCTAGGTACTTCAGTTCTAGTATTTTGAGTTGGGGTTGAGGCAGAAAGGGTGAGAACATTATTTTGCCTAGTTAGAGGAAACGCTTGTAAGTTGGTTTTGTTATTATGAGTTGGGTATTAATCAAGTTTTAGCTACTTGGAACTCAGGCACATAGATATTTTAACTCCTAGTATTTCAAAAGCAGATCTAGAGTCTGCTTACAAACCTACTGTGTGAAAGATTGAGAGTGCAAATTCTCTTGCTATTCAGAGTTGGATCTGGGACCCTTAGTTTTTTCTTACTATTGCAGCAGGTACAAGTCAACCTGTTCACTTTTCTGTTGGGGAATAATTTTCATGACCAACTAACCTTTCTTTCTTTTCAAAGAACTAAGATTCCAGATGGCAAACTCTATGAATGGCAGAAATCCTGGTGGTCGAGGAGGAAACCCCCGAAAAGGGCGAATTTTGGGTATTATTGATGCTATTCAGGATGCAGTTGGACCCCCTAAGCAAGCAGCAGCAGATCGCAGGACTGTAGAGAAAACTTGGAAACTCATGGACAAAGTGGTAAGTTTTAGCCTACTATGCCTGTAGGTAGACTTACTTATCCAGATAAATCATCCAGATTTACTTATGCTGTTAGTAATAATTACAGTATGGCAACATCTTTCAAATTGCATATTCATTTTCTTACATCCACTCTGTTTTGAAAAGTTGGATTCACAGCAAAGTTTTTTTTTTTTTTGCTTTTTTTTTTAATCTTTTGTCCTAGTCTTTAAGTTCAGAGTTCCTCTATATGAGTCAGATATGCAAAGTTTTACTGTTGACTGCTTTTTTTTTGTTGGTGCATGACCATAGAATAGTTTGGAAATGTTTGTTCTTCTATCAAGTGTCTTGCTGTTAGTAGCAAGAGTGCTAACAAGTAATTTGAGAAAAGTCTGTTGGATTACCATGACAGTTGCAATATATGCTGTTGAAAATATTTACAGGGAAAAGAACAAGTTCTATCTTTAAGTGAGAAAACAGTAGTTGAAAGAGTTTCCATTTTCATCTTTGAGAATTCATTTTCATTAAGAAACTTTTGTGTTGTTGTTAATGGCATAGTTACAGTTTCTTTCATCTTCTATTCCATTTTGAAACAGGAAACCTTTTCGATTGCACATTGTTTATTATGAAAGGAAAATTTATGATGGAGGTAGTGGTGCTGAGTATAAGAAACCTCTGTGGTTTCTGCATGTTGCTTTCATATGAAGTGCAACTTCACAATTAGAAATCAAGCTGATTGAACAGAGAAGTCTGAGCAACTGGAATCCATTCCAGGGGTCTAGTGAGGAAACCTATCTTACTGACAAAGATAGGAAATTAGTAGCACTGAGACATATGTACTTGATGTGTGGAGCTTCCCCTGAAGGGAAATGTTCGTAGCATCTTATGGTTTTATTTCATAGATATTTAGGGCTAATGAACTTTATGGATGCAGGGATCTTGATATCTTTATGTCTTTATAACTGGAAGACTGGAGATTTAAGAAAAGTTCCTTATGTAGGGATATATTTAAAAAAAAGTCTATGAAAAGATTTGGTAGCAGTTACCTTTAGTTTGTAATTACGTGCAAATACGTGCCACAAAAAGCCACCCTCAGTGGTATCAACAGTGTAGGAAGGTGATAAGATTTATTTTCTTTACATTTGTCCTATGGAAAGTACAGATAGGGTAACTACTATCATCCTTTGGTTGATGGTCTGGGGAAAGGCCTGCTACATGCAGAGCCAGAATATATTTGCCAGGTAAATATCCTTACTTTTTGGCTTTAGTGTGACCTATTTAAGCTTATGCCAATTCATTCACATTGTTATATTAAAGTACTCCAGACAGAATGATCTCATAGTGTCAGAAGATTGCAACTTGCTGCTTGAGGTCAGGTTTTGATTTTAGCATTGGATACTTAGGAATGAGGAATATGTAGTTGGGAAAATAGCAGCTTTGTGGCAGACCCTGCACCAGCTATCTTTGCTTTCTGAAGAGTATGCTCTTCAAGGTCACTCTCATTGCCTTAGTCATTAGTTGGGTGGAGAGAATCAATTGAAAGTTTTTGCCTGAGTTCTCTGTTATGTATATGGGCCAGACATAGGCCAGATTCTACCTGGACCTGTTCTTTCCTCCCCAACCCTTTTCTCTGAGTGGTCAGAATTTATACATTTGTGAGTGAGCGTTAGAATCAAATGAAAAAGATGTATATGAGGAAGTGGTGAGCCATAGTTAATAGAATGTCATTCTTTTTGAAACATTAAAATATGTGTGCCTAATTTTGGTCTGTAACTGATTGTTAACATAAGTTTTATCCACTTTTAATTATTTCACCATGGGTTATGGTAAAATACATGGTTATTTGATAAGTACGTTTTTGCCATTGCTTATTTTATTAACTTGGGTATTTGGGCTTAGCTTCTCCAGTGGAGAAACTTGACTCATAAAGAAATCTATTATCTGCAGTCTCTACTTAGTGGCATTTGGGTGCAGATATTGGCATTGGCACATTGTAGGGCTTTTCTTATGTGTCTTCATTATTTTAAAGGGTGAAAATCATGTTCATTTTTTAATTTATCTGTGAACTTTGAGGAAAGACATCACATAAGTCATTATAAAAGAGTTCAGTATGTTTATTGCTATCTTACAGTAATTACAATAATTAGTAATTATAAGTATATTTTATTTAATATTATGATACAGAAACATCCCCCACATCTGTTTATCTTTTTTCTTCTTTGTCAGTGGTTAAGGAAGTGGTTCATAATATCAACATTGTCCTGGTGATTACATCAGGACTTTTATTATTAGTCCAAAGTTATTCCCTCGACACATTACCTAACTGTTTTGTAAAATAACTGCAATAAAGTGAGTTTAGTCTGTGAATAACAGAAAATAGCAACTTTCAAGTTTAACTGGTAGTTACACAAAGGGAAGGGTTAAATGTTTAGTTAACTTGTTTCCTTTGTGAACCCTCTTCAACATTGTAGGTGTTAGACATAAAAATATGAAAATAAGCTTCAATTTCAGAGTGTCTCAACGACCTACAAGTAAAATAACTCACTTCACAGAGGATAAGATGCACTTTTAGGTTATAGGGGGAGTATGTAGTTGCTTCACCCTTCCCTCACCTCTGGAATTTAAAAGGGTCAACTGAGATTCCAGTTTCAAGTAAATTGTTATGTTTTCAGAGGGCAGGCTTTTTATACAAGGGCACTCGGAGTAAGAGAGAGTAATTGCTTGGTTGTGTTCTCTGTAAGATGTAAAGTATTTTGTAACAAAACATCGATAGCACAGAGTTAGCATTGTGCATTTGTTGAGAAAGAGAATAGTAGCATGTCCCAAAGCATCCCATTAAAACATGCTTTCTGACTCTTGCTGTGTCTGTGTAAGTCAATAGCTGACCTAAATCTTTTTCAAGTCAGTGGTTGTCTATTTGATAGTGTTAGAACTGCTCTCCTTGAAGGTACAGCTTGATTGAAATACACCTGAAATGTGGAATCTGTTACAGAGATGAGGTTTCTTAAACACTTAATAAACTTTATTGAGGGCCTGCTATGTTCTTGTGAAGTGCTTATTAACTGGGGATGCAAAGCTCTACATGGCACAACTCTGCCCTTGAACTGTTAAGGAATTCGGAGAGCAGCATGAGAGCCAGGCATACACATGGATAATTGCCCTGTAATATGAAAAGGACTGTAATACAGACTCACACAAGTACAGGGGCAGCAAAGTAGCCAGCATCCACTTTGTTTTACTGGCCACTGTCAGACAACTGTCTGTCTGGGTCCTGCTGGCCAATCCCTTTAGGAACGGTATTACTGTACTCTGGTTGGAAATGCTGAGGTGATGGTAAGGAAATGACTGCTAATCAGTATAGTAGGAATGATAATTTATTAATGTGAGGTTCCTGAGCATGGTTCTCACAAGCGTCTTAGCCAGGTGATGGAAACTATAAGAAACAATTTCCCTTCTAATAAATGCTAAATGTACTTAGCATACATGGATGTTCAGGAAATTAAAAATAATTAATTGATGCCAAAGAATGGAGCAAACTGAGTACCTACCTACTTATTTGTCTTGCTGTCCTTGTCATTTATATGAAATTGCATTACTGAAAGAGTTTTAAAAGCATTTAAGAAGTGATGATGCCAAAGAGCCTTTTCCTGCTTTTCCTCCTCAGTGCATTTAGTACATTGTGAAGTTTGAAATATAATTAATTTTATACCTTTCTAATATCCCTGTGACCATAATGTCTTTTCAAATTTATCAATTAAAAATGCTTGAATTGTATGAAGGTTTTTAAGATAATATGAGTAAATGTTCTTTTCTAAGTGAATTTCTCACGTCTCTGAATCCCTCGTGTCTCCAGGGTACCAATTTAGAGTCTGTATGCCTATTGCTGTGTTTGTTGCTTTTGGACTATCATGTTGTTTGCATTTTTACAGCAGGAAATACTATTTGTTTGAATTATTCTTCACACATTTCCTTTTCCTTTTGGATTTTTTTTCCATATTTGCAGAAATATGGTTACTTAGTGGGCTTAGATAGGGAATGATAATTTTGTTTAATACTGTTAGACTTTGAATTTGTGCTGAGGTAAATGAAGTGATCCCAAAGTTTGCTGTTTGTCACTTCTCAGAAAAGTTTTTGATAAAGTGAAAGATTTAAGGGAGTGTTACCAAGGCTTACTTTGGCTTATCCTTTTGATATTAGGTGTACATTAACTGAAACCTTAATCAGTAATCTTTTCACTCATAGCATTTTTACTATTCGCATATTGTTTATTTTCAGTTGTATTTTTTTAGAGATAATAGAGGTTTACAGTAGGGTATATGATTGAGAATTATAGGTTCACACCTCTTTAGTGATGTTAACCACACCACACTTGCCACCAAGACACCCATAGTCCTCCACCTTCGACAACTTCCTTTCTTTCAAAGTGAGTCTATATGGTGTGTCTGTTGATTTCAGCCAGCACTTATTTTTCAAATCCCAACTATGGAAAGATAGACATAAATGACCATGCCATAAAGTGGAAGGTAGTAAGTTCTATATAGTATGACTGGATTGTGTGACATAGTACAGGTCAGAGGTGAATGTTCCTTGCTAGGGGTGAAAAGTTGATATACATACAGCTTGGTGGAGGTGCCATCCTGATGTTTTTTGGAGAGTGTTTGGATTCCAGTGAAGCAGTGTACTTATGCCAAATTAATGCTAGGTAGAGGGAAACTATTGAGTAAAATAAGGTAAGTAGAAAGATAAAAATGTTTCAATTACTCTGTCAAGGAACCTGGACTTTATATAGCAGGTAGAGAACCACTAAAATCTGTAGAGTGAGGAAAAAGTCAACACCATGCTGTGATAGATTAGTCTCTTGACACTATAAAGCATGGATTAAAAGAAAAGAAACTTAAAGCTGGGAATGATGATCAGGAAAAATTAAAACAGATTGGGGAAGAAATAATAAAGAACTGAGCTAGAGAACTGACTATAGGTATAGCAACTGTTGGCTAAAATGTGGGAGGCATTTTGAAGGA